TTGCTGTTGACAATCTCAATCTGCAGCATCACTGTTCTAATAATCATGATCTTTAGCAAACTAACATTGTGTTCCTGAGGAAAGATAGGATTCTGCTTTCTGGTTATATCTGTCTGTCTCTAAAGTGGGACAGGTTGCTCCCTGTTGGTATTCAGGTTGATCTCTTTCATCTAGACTGTCTAGATTTCTCTCTGGTGTTTGTCCTGAAACTCCCAATTTAATGTCATTTCTGCATCTTTCAGACGTTTCCAGCATCCTCTGCATGTAGAGGAGCAATTGAGTGAGGCTTCAGCCTCATAAAACCAGGGCACGACATCTCCAGAGCTCTTGGAGTGCTTGCCTACTATTTTTGGAACTAGCTCTATTGCTTCTATAATAGGAAGGCTTCTGGAAGCTTTCTCCTTCCCCTCGCCCCAAGAAAGTAGCCATTCAGCTGAGCTTCCATTAATTCACAATCTGCATGGCAAAACAAATCTAGTTTTATATGCTGAATAATTCAGCTGTGGCTCATGGATCACGTGGCCCTAAATGCACTGCAGTGTCTTTACCCATACCTAGTAACCCAAGAGCACAGCAGCTGTAGCAACAGTGCTCAGCTACCCTGTGCTTATCATTCGGGACACAGCATGGATTAAGCAGTGGCAGTGAGTGCCAAAGGAGGTGGTTGCTTTCTAGAGAGTGAAGTAATGTGTGATCTGTGTGTTTGTCATCAGTGCTGCAGTGGAATTGACAAATAATGGATTTATGCTGGTTTTGTTTTTCTCTTGGGTCAAGCAGAACAAATCCAGTGAGCCAGTTCTTCTTCCCAGTTGAGCAACAGATAATATCCCTAACCAAATAGAGCAAGACAGCTGAAGCCTTTCAGGAATAGTTGAACAAGTGAAACATTTTGTGATCGTTTCCAGTACAAAAACAGAGCATCAGTAAGGTGCAGTGGAGCTTGTTTTCTTCTTCCCTTTTGAGATTTTCCCTTTTGAGTGGAAAGGGGATAGCTAGTTCACTCCAACACCAAGCATACCTGAAGAGGGGAAAACACTGAGCTATAAATTGAAAACCTTTCATTCTTGATTGACATGATCTTGGAAAGGGAGACAGGCTCTCCCTGTGGTGCTTCATTAGAATGAGGACTTGATAATGCAGCAGGTATAGAATCATTAGCATTGGAAAAGACCATCATCAGTTAGTTCAGCTGCCAGTCTCTCACCACTGTGTCCCACCAAGCTGTCCTTCAGTGCCACATCTCCACCTTTCATCTCTAGGGATGGTGACTTCAAGTTCTGATGTTTGACAGCAGTGAGCAATCCAGCTTCAGGGCTTTGGAGCTCACGTGCTTGTTCTCCTCTTACAAGTGGAACACTACATGTTGTGTGTTCAAAAGTTTATTTCCACTGACTGGAAGGAATATAAAAACCCCTTTGAGGGCAGGCACCTTTCACGGTATGCTTCAAGGAGTGGCTTTAGAAAGAAGCTATGATTAAAGAGGAGCTGGAAGTGCATATGTTGAATCCACCGTGCAGAATCCCAGATTCTCACTGCATTGGATGAAAAAGCAGAAACATTGGGATGCAGGAGCTGTCGCAGACTGCTTGGTATAGACCAAACAAAGCTCTGTATTATAAGGCCTGAGCGATGGTTAAGTCCCTTCTAATGACTATATCTGTGTTAACTCTTCTGAGTTTCTTTTGAAAGACTTGCCTTTGCTTCCTTCTGCCTCCTGAGCGTGCTGGTTGCTGCCCAGCTGAGCCAGTGCCACGGTGCTGTGTGGCTGGAGGGCATCCCAGAGCCAGTCCCTGTCTGGAGGTGGGCTGCTCAGGCTGGCAGAGACTGATCTGCTCTTAGCAACAGCGGGGGTTCTGCTCAGAGCCAGTCCCTGTGCCACTGCTTCCTTCCTAGAAAGCAAATGTTCTCAAGGAGCGAGCCCATCCTTTGGAACACTTCAGCAGTTACTGTTGCTGCTGGAAACACGCTGGGCCTGCAGTAAAGCTTTAACTGCCGCAATGCCTGTAAATAACAAAAGCTGTGGTATGTTGCTGCACAGACGATTTCCCCCTGATTCCATGCTATTTAATACTGCAGGAGCAGTTCAGAAATGATGGTAAGGTAGGGAGTTTGGTGAGACCATCCAGCAATCTGCTGTCCGCTGCTGAGAGTGTGAGTGTGATGCTTCCTGCTGCCAAGATCTGAGTCCTTCCCACATCTGATGCATCCAGGCATATGTTTGGGGGCGGTTTCAGGAAAGGAGAGCTAGAAGATTAGTTTCTTATTTTCCTCTTTCTGTTCTGTTTCTCTGTGCATCTGTATTTTGATTTTCAGGCTGCACTCAACTCTGCAAAACTAAGCAAGGAAGGGAAGCATCTCCTGATAAGGATCAGCCTCTGTTAAGAAATGCTGTGGTAGCTAAGAGGCAGTAAGTATCTCTGTGCTGGCTTGGATGCTGATTATTTCTCCTTTTTTTTTTTTTTAATTCACAAGCACAGCTTTTTAGTACTCACACAGTGGGAATTTGTCAGTAGATTGCTGCCATTAATAGTCTATTTCAGCTCTTTTCTATAGACCAGCAGCTAAAGAAGGGCAAAAAGCATGCTTTGTATGGAGCTGTGTTTTCATCTGGGCTGCACTGTGAACTTGTCTGTATGGATTTTGTCAGCTTTTGCCTTCCTCTAGAAGGTGCTAGGCCTTTCTTTAAATGCATGGCATCCCATGATACAATACCTGTGCTTGGACTGGGGTTGTGCCTACCCCAACTGGAGTGAATTTGCATGATGTTTTTGCTTTTCAGGCTCTGCTATAAATGAGGTTTTTTCCTTATATATATAGCTATCTTTTTTTTTAATCACTTCTCAGTTTCTCTTTTTACATTTTGATTTACGAAGCAGCAGGACTGCAACAAAACACACGGTGCTCTCAACCAGGGGTACATCAACAGAGTTTAAGCTAGTGAAAAAGTGACTGGCATTCTTAAAACTGTATGTTTGCATTTATTTGGGTGTGGATATAATAATGTTTCTGTGATACAGTTCCTGCTGAGTCTGAAATGCTGGTGTCAGTAAAGCCAGAAGGCGAAGCCAGACAAAAGCTTGGATGGAAGTCAGAATTTCAGTGCCTCTTACTGGTGGTTCCTGGGAAAGGAATGATTTTGTTGAACTTTTCATAAAGCAGTGGGCATATGTTTATAGAAATGTATTTTCTAAAAACATCCCAAATGCCTGATTTTTCTTTTGGTGCTCAGATTTCACTCGTGCAGGTAGGTCCTTGTTGCAGGCTCTGGGTAGTTTAGTGAGGATGGTGTTTAAGTACAAAGCTGTGATGCGTGCAGCTCTTAACCATGTCTTCTATCTGCTGGTCTTTCTGATCTCGTGGAGCAGAGGGCACACTCTCACCCTCCAGCTCTGCCTGTGCAATGCCTCTGTCTTCTCAGTTCAGTGTGTTTCTTTGCATTGTGTGGAGCTCAGCAGAGACTTCTTCGTGAAGGACTGGAATGTATTTGTATAATATTTTATGTATTATTTTAGGCTCCTGCTTACTCAAACATGGGTGAATGATTAACCTCTCATTTCCCATCACTGGAGGAATCGTGAAATTCCTTTAACACACAAGTCCAGCTGGATGTAAACCAACTTCTCTCTCTCTCTCTGCTGAGAAAATCATCCTTAACCACTTTTGCTGAGCTTGGCTGCAAAGTTGGAGAGGGCTTCCCAGGCCAGGAGCATTCAGTGGCAGCACTGAGATGTAAGCCACACTGATTTGCACAGTGCAAAGGTGGGTGCTGCTCTGAAGTCCCGAGGTGTTGCAGAATCATCATAGAATCACAGAATGGATTGGAAGGGAGCTTTAAGACCATCCAGTTCCAGCACCCTGCTATAGGCAGGGACACCTCCCTCCAGTGCAGGCTGCTCACAGCCCCATCCAGCCTTGTCTTGAACACCTCCAGGGAGGGGGCATTCAGAACCTCACTGGGCAGAACGTGATGGGAGAGGCTCTCATCTTGGAGCTGAGAACAACCTGCACTGAATCCCAAATACTGTGAGGCCACAGCTTTATCGTTAGTGTTCTACGTTACGGCATTGCTGTGCGTAGTCATTCAGAGAGGAGGAAAGAAGCAATCACTAAAGCAGTCTACCAGCAACTCAGGCTTGAATATTCAAGTTTTTCCAGGGCACCTGAACTGCGTCACATGTTTCATGTTCCAATTTGATGGTGGTTGTTCTTCCACTGTCAAAGCATGCTGCAGCACCGCTGCCGTGTCAGCTCCAAGGACAAGGCGTAGAAGGCAAGTGAGATACGGAACAGCTTTGTTTTGGTGAAATCTGCTGCCTTATCTGTGTGTGATGCAAAGACAGGGCAGTTTTGAGAAGGTTTGGAGCTTGGTGGTGGCATGTTTATTTTGTTCTCTATGAAGGGGACACGTTACTTTGATTAGAATGCTAACGTAACTCGTCTGGCAGCATCAGATCTTACTGCTGGCCTGATGCTGTGCTAACAAGAAAAAAGGGCTTGCGTGTCTGGTTTGCATGGAGCTTGGAGGACAACGTGTCCCATGGGAGGTACCCAGGTAGGGCTGTAGCTGCATATAAGCACAGCAGCATACGTGATGTTGGGGGTGTTCATTTCTGTTTTAATGGTGTTCAGAAACCCCAGCTGCAGTAATGGCATGATGTTGTATAAGTTCTTTATAAGTTCTTTTTATATTTATGTATGTGGACATGTCTGTATGGTGTGTGTTTGTGTATACACAGAGTATCTACGATGTGTAGTGGTGTATTTATATCTATGCATATTTTCTATCCTTCTTCACCTTCTTTTGGGAAGGGATCCTTGTCCCAGTATCTGTGCCCTGCTGTACTCTGACATGATGCTACTTTTCTCATGTTTGTTCAGTTTCTAGGTGGGAGAGACACTGTGAAGCTCTGTGCAGGGCGAGGAGAGCTGAGGAGGGAGCCTTGCATGTGAACCAGGATGGACTGGCTGTGACGGCGTGCCTTAGCTGGAGGGGGAGTTACGATGAAGAGTTCCTGCAGAGCTGGCCTCCACAGGGAACCACTGAATTCTGCATCTTCTACCTTCCATCAAGTCAAACGGTACGAGCAGAGCAGCTGGCCTGCCTTTAGCTAAACATGTAGCACCCATTTCGCCTTCTCCTTGCTTTCTTATCGTCTTGTGTGTCACTTAGTTGGTCTCAATCCTTACTTTCTGATAGCCTTTAACTAAAATGTGATGGCTTGAGGGCAGAAGTGTTCTTTGACACTGTTGTTTGATAATGACACCTACAGGTGGTACTGTACTTGGAGAAACCTTTGATTATTATAATTCTTTTTAGTAACAGCTGTAAATTAATTTGGGAGTGTGGCTTTGAAGTATTTTGGAGAGTAGCTCGTCACAGTAGGCTTTAAAATATGCAGTCAGCTTACAGCCAGTGGAAATGCTGGCAGTCATTGTTGTGGTTTGTCTTACTATGGAGTAAGTAACTGGATTGGCTTAATCTGAGGTTTTGTATTGCTCCTTCTCCTGTGTCTCTTGCTAAGAAGAAATGCACGACTGATTTCAAACACTTGTGCTTATGTGACAATGAAGTGAACGCCTCTCACTGTGTGCTGTTATAGGAACACCGTACAGAACAACTTGTGCTTATGCAAATGAAAGAACATGCCAGTTTGAACAACAGAAAAATACGTATCTCCTTTGAAACCAAGACTCTTAGACTTCCTCAATCTGAAGGAAGAGAGGCAGCTTTCTCATTTCCAAAATTCATGTGGGTTTAAAGTAAACTTTAACCTTTGTTCCTTGTGGTTGTGTAGGCAACACATACTTGCTATGTTAGTCTCATAGTAATTTAGGGCTGGAAAGGACTCCCTTGGTTGCCCAGCTCCTTGCTTTCCCAAGGAGTGTCTCATAATCCTTTGGGTGAACTTGTTTTTAGGCCGGACTTCTGTCTTTTCTTCTCCCATAGATTAAACCATTACTGAAGATGACAGCTCTAACTGTGCAGTTAGGAACGTTTCGATCCCCGGAACGAATGTTCATGCCAGCTTAATTTGAGCTGGTGGTGTTACCTATTTTGTATAAGGACCTCCTCTCGTTTTCAGTGTTACCTTTTTTGCTGTGTTCTGTAAGCTGCAGCTGTATCCCCTCACCTATGCTTTGCTGTGCCCAGTGGCCCTGTGCTTTCTAGTAGCTTACTGAGCAGTGCCTGTTCTTAGTCTAGGTAAATCTCCTCTGAGCCGGGACAATAACTGTGTGCTGACTTCCAAGGGAGACCTTATAGGAGTGCTTTTCAGTGTCACAGATCTGCCTTCATTTGCCTTTGTGTCATGGATGTGTCTTTGCAGCACCTTTTTCAGTGAAAACTGTGCTTCTTGGTGTTCAGCCTTCTGCTGTGTCACCATCTGTACTTCAGAATTTTGCCCTGTTTCTGTTAACCAAGTGCTTTGCACCTCCTCCCTATTGGCATTGCCTTTCATTTCTGTAGCTTTGTTGTTGAGGTCGTTTGTAAGAAAAACCAACGGTTCTCCAGGCTGATTCTTGAGGAGTGTGTTTGGTTTTGAGGCTGGTGTTTTATTGTTCATCACCTGGGGCTCTCTGCTGTTAAGACAGCTTCTTTGTGCCTTTCAACAGTTTTTTGTCAAATCTGTCTTACCCAGTAGATCTTTGTGTGCCTCCTGAGACCATATGAATAAACCACATCAGAGTGTTTTTCAAGAAAGCTCTTCTGAAAACCTTCAGATTGGTCTGACATATTGTATTATTTCTTTTCCCCGTTCCCCATGTCCTTGTAATCCTCTTTTCTTTCAAAGCAGTGTTTTACACCAAAGTAAGACCAGCAGGCCTGGAGATGCCACAATCTTTCTCCAATGCAGCACTGCGTTCCAGGCAATATTGATCTGAAGACTTGAAACCTATGGCTACTTCTTGTATCCTTCCTGAAGAAGAAACGTGTTCAGTTGGAGTTTTTCTTATTTGGGATGTATTCATTATAATGAGAACACCTCTTGACTCCTGGAAGAATGCCTCTTGGTTCACTCTGTCTGCAGAGAAATCTTCTACACTAGTGTGGCCAGCTTCATGAACTGGATCCTTTAAGGCTTGACTTTCAAAGAACAAACTGGTGGCTTTCCTTCTGTTTCTGCTTATCCTTCCTTTTGAGCTCCTGCGTTTCTTAATGATAGTTCAGTCCAAGGTTAATTCCTACAGCCTTTCATGTGTGCACATTCTGTATGTGTTAAAGTCTGAATAGTGTCACTGCTGGTTTAACTACCTGATGAAACTTCTTACCCCACTGTATTAAAAACAACCTTGGTCCAGTTGCAATTAAAAAAAGAGGGAATGAACATTGTGGAAAGATAATGCTTCCAAAAGGAAACATCAGAGTTTCTGTACGGTTAGGGAATGTCTGTCTGGGATGCTTGCTCTGCCATCATCTTTGTGCTGAATGCCTTTGGGGATGCTTTAGGAGATGACTCTGAATTCCAGCTGTTTCAGTTGTTGTTTTCTCTCTTTCTGTCATCCCTGTGTCATCTGTGGCGTGATTGGAAAGTAGGGAACGGAGATCTGAGCTTCCTGAGGCTGCAATGAATAATTGATTGTATGTCATCTGGTAAGTGCCTTTATACAATGGCTGTTCCCAGAGCAATGCATCCTATTTTTCTTGTGTTGACCCACAACACTGCAGGTGGAAATTGATGGTATGGCAGTAGAGATTGAACCTTTCAACCAATATTCTGTTAAATTTTGTTGGCAGATGGGCAGTGGAGGGGCAGCCTGATGAAATGGCATCTGACACAGAAGTGAGTGTGAAGCCAAGGTGTGTCATTGAATTCCTCCATGCAGAAACAATGGCACCCACTGACATTCATCAGTGAATGTTTATGGAGTCATAAAGGAGCACAGTGCTCATCCAGTTCCAACCCCCTGCTGTGTGCAGGTCGCCAACCAGCAGCCCAGGCTGCCCAGAGCCACATCCAGCCTGGCCTTGAATGCCTGCAGGGATGGGGCATCCACAACCAAACTATTTGGAGACCAAACAGTGGATGTGGCAACAGTGACATTGGGTCACCTCTGCTGGTTCTGGATCTTGTGCATCATTGGCAAACCTGCAGAGCTTATGGTGGTGACTGCATTTAAAAACAGTGTTTTGTAGCTGAGAATTTGTTCTATCACATAGTGTTATTGTGCTCTTTGTATCTCTTGGAGTTTCCATGGAAATAAATAGGAGGCAGTACATTCAGAGCGACCTACATCCAAAACACTGGCAAGTCTTGTGAAAAGAGACCTGTTTAGCTGCGTGGTCTGTGATACTCCTTGCTTGTTCTCTGTCCCCATCCCTGCAGGCATTCAAGGCCAGGCTGGATGTGGCTCTGGGCAGCCTGGGCTGCTGGTTGGCGACCTGCACACAGCAGGGGGTTGGAGCTGGATGAGCATTGTGCTCCTTTGCAACCCAGGCCATGCTGTGTTGCAGTTAGGCAGGCACAAAGGGATTGGGAGCAGTTGCTTCAGTCTGAAGGTAGTGCTGCAAGGGAGTGCTTTTTTCAAGAAACCAGATGCCTCCACAGCTGCTACAGTCCCACCAGCCCCTGCTCTGGAGCACCGTGCTTCCCAACCCACCTCTCTCCAGGCTTGGATGCTTTCCATGCACCAGAACAAGCTTCAGTGAGTAGCAGAGTGTTGTCCACCCTGGCTCTTAGCTGGGACTTTCCCATCCCAGCAGGATCTGCAGAATGCCTTTGAAGCAGCTCTCTGTCTGCTCTGCCTGCCCCAGCAGTGCAAAGGGGATGGAAGTGGTACTGGAGATTGCACCCACTGAGCACTTCCAGAAATAACAAGTGGTTGACCGTGGTTGAACTGACGTGCAGTGCTCAGTCCTTGGTAATTGTCAGTGTTCTTTGCAGAGGAGCAAAGTTTCCCATAAGAGAGATGGGATGCCAGGGAAGATATGTGCCCTGCCAGAGGTTGCTCTTGGTGTGGCTTTTCATTGCTGCTGCCTTTTTTTTTCTGGCTGGTGCCTTGTGTTTGTGTGTCCTGAGGGGTTTTTCAGAGTTGCACACGCAGTCAGCAGCGCTAGGAAATCTTGCCTACTGGAGTGCTTACAGAACTTCTAGGGGAGCTTTTGGGGTTTCGATTGAAATATTCTTCTTAATAAAACCTTCTGGTGCTTTGCCCAGAAAACATACGGTGTGAATGTGCTGTTTGAGAGCATAGTTGGTTTTGTTGTTTTTGCTGGCCAGAGGAAATCTTTGTGTTTCACAGGGCATTTTGGGAGTCCTGACCGAGGCGCAGGATGGGATCTGTAGGCTCTCTGTAGACCCTAGGAAGGACTTTGGGTTGGTGCTGGCTCTGGTCTTGTTGAACAAAGAATCATAGAATGGTTTGAAAGGGACCTTTAAAATCATCTAGAACTTCTTTATGGTGAGAGTGATGCAGTGCTGCCCAGAGAGCTGGTGGAGTCTCCTTTTGTGCAGGTAGCCAAGGGCTGGACACTGAGCTGTGCGACCTATGGTGGGGTGCTGATGTAGTGGGGGGGTTGGACTTGGTCTTTGGAGGTCCCTCCCAACCCCTGCAATTCTGTGAGTTGTGAAAGTGGAGCCTCTTGTATTGATTATTTTTTTTTCCTCCAGTTTCTATTCAAGGAAATATTTTGGTTTTTAGGCCGTTGTGATGTAGATGATGTATAAATGCAGAAAGATTCTGGTTGGCTTGGTGCAGTAGCTAATGGATCTTCCCTTCCACACAGAGAGGGGAGGTGTGTGCATGTATGAAGGCTTGCATTTATGCACCAGTCCAGCATAGGAGCCAACTGTAGTGACAACGAGCTGTACTGAAACTTGTAAAAACAGCAGTGTCATTCCAGAACTGTAAGTATCCTGTTTTTATGTGCCTGAGACATGGCTGATTAGAAATTAAAACAAAAAACAACCTGGTCCTCTCACTTCGTTGGCTTAAGGATGGAATAACAGTGTGAAGGCAGCACTGCCAGTTGTTTCAGCGCTGATGGCTCTTGGCAGAATTCTCTCTTATCAGCATTTCAAAACCACACATGTGGGATTGAGGATCTTTTATGTTTATGCCATGAAGTTCTGAAGAGTCACTGTCTCTAAAGATAGAATGAGAAAGCTTGATGGCTTACAGACTAGGGGAAAAGAAACGGAATTATTCTCAAGTATGATAGGGAATTGTCAGTGACTTCTCCTTTTAACAATTATTTTTGGTGTTTATTAAAAAACTTGTAACTTAAAAACTTCACCTGCAGCAGCCACAGTTCTCTGCTTGCCAGCACTGCAGTGGTGCAGAAATAGGGTGGGCACTGGGGGGAGAGGATGGGGCTCTGGTTTGCATTCAGAGCATTTTCTGCTGGAAATCCTCGCTCTGATTCCTGGAGCTAGGAATGAAACGTGCTGCTGATGCATGGGGAAGATGTTCTTTGTGTTTAAGAAGGATGAATTTTGAATGTTCATGGCAAAGTGTGTAAGTGGTGGGGGTGAGGATTTGCTTCTCTCTTAGCGATGCTTTCAGGTAAGGTCTGCCACTAAAAGCTCTTCCTCATGGCCTGAAAACTTGAAGGGAAGTGGCAGTGCCATTCAGATGGAGTTTTGTAGCTGTCTGAAACTATTAAAGGAAGGTTTTCTTTAAATCTGGATCCATTAAAACAGTGCAATGAACTGAATGCTGAATTCAAATGAGGCAATTATTCTGGCAGTAAAACTTCTGACTAAGGCATAATTTTGTTATGCAAATTGTAACTTTTCAACCTTAAATGGTATTGTTGGCCTAGCTGGAGACCAACTGAAACACAGGAGGAAATATAACCTTAAATGAGAAATCCATAGTAGGTGAGGCATAACTTTATCCTTTGTCTTTCTCCGTAGACCTGAAATAGCTGTGAGCAGCTGAACCAACTTTGCTGGCTAAACGTGTCCTCCGAGCCCGCTGGGTAACCAGTTCAGTCCTGTTCTCATTCATGTAATACCTGAGCTCACCTTCATTTACAGTTTTCCCTTAATGAAGGGTGTTGAAGTGATTTGTCCTGCTGGATTCCTGAAAATGGTTCGAAGAAAGCCTTTTTAGCACATAATTCAGCTCATCTTTCAAGCACCCTGGCGTGAAAACTCAGCAAGGAAATCTGATCTTTCGTTCCCAGCTCCTGGGATTTCAAGGTGGAAAGCTGTGTGTTGCATTGCCTTCACCTTTTCTTCCCCCAGGGTACTGCTGTGAGCAGCTACCACAGCTTTTCTCCTGAAAGCACCTCCAAAATGCCCTTCTGAGTGGGGAAGGGAAGACTGCAGGCATGCTTCTCTGCTGCCTTTCACCCGCACCTTGATTCTGGCCTGGACACTGACCCAGGTGTGTTGGTGGCCTGACTGAGCAGCTATGAATTGTGGAAAAGTAGGCTCGAGCAAACTTGCAGCAGCCTTGATTTCCTATCCTCTCTTCCTCCTCTATTTCATCACCCCGAAGTTCTATTTTTATGAGGTTATTTTAGTTGTTAGCATCCAACTGAGAAGGGAAACAAAATAGCTCAGTTGCATTCTGCAGAGGAAAGTGAACTGGGAGGTGACCCAATTCCAGCAAGAGCTGGAATTAGCACAGAAGGCATGGGGAGAGAATTAACCCAGCAACTGGGTGCGTGTGTGTGCAGGAGTGGGAGCTCTCTTATCCCCACAGTCTGTTGCTGAAGGGAAGGTGACATTAGCACTGGTTGCAAGGGTGACATCGTGTTCTGCCTGTAAAACTGAAAGGGAAGAGATGCTTGTTGCTGAGCACATTATGCTCTTTTCCTGGGTTCCTAGTGATAGGGAATGACCTCAAGTTGCACTAGGGGAGGCTCAGGTATCTGTTCACCCTGGAGGAAGAGCCTGAAGTCACCTGATGATGGAATCCCATGTGGCAGTGCCCTGGGCTTCTGTGTTTTTGAGCTTTGTGTTGAGATTATGGTGGAGGTGCAACAGAAAGGACGAATCGAGTGGGGCCAGTGGCGTAGGGCCATTGCCTGAGTGGTGCTGCTGTTAGGGCAGCAGTGTCCAAGTAATGTCTCCTTCACAGCTCTTAGATCTTAACCATAAAAATGCTTGCTTGGATGTGGTTTTGTCCAGCCAGAGTTGGTGCTTCTGTCACTTTTTGGTTTGGCATCTGATGTGCAGCACAAGGGGGAGCGTGCCAAATCTGCCAGTGTCAATATACTCAAGGATAATAGGCATCGTTGGGTAGATTTAGGCTAGATATTAGGAATAAATTCTTTATTGTGAGGGTGCTGATGCACTGGAACTGGTGATGCACTGATTGCTCAGTGTGGCTATGGATGCTGCTCCTTGGAGGCATTCAGGGCCAGGCTGGACGGGGCTGTGAGCAGCCTGCTGTAGAGGGAGGTGTCCCTGCTATAGCAGGGGGTTGGAACTGGATGGTCTTAAAGCTCCCTTCCAACCCAAACCATTCTGTGGTTCTATGATCATTTCAGGTGGTGTTATGAGACTGGCAGTCTGCTGGGATGTCTGATCAGTGTACTTACACTTGCTAATTTCCCTTCTTAGCTTTAATTATCTTCTGAAATTTGTCCTTGTAGCTGGTGGGTAAGGTCAAGGTAAGCGCTGTGACCCCTGAGTGCCTTACAGCAGGGTCGGGGCTGAACGGATGGAAGGATTGCTTGGACTCTAGAATGAGCCACTGCATTTGCACCGTGGACATAACTTAAGCATTAGGATTTCACCTCGGGACTCCCTGGACACAAATTACTCTATTGGGAAGATCTCTGCTGTCCTTAAGATTTTAATCATTGCAAGATGCGAGTTGTTCTCCGAGGGCCGACTGTAGCTGCCTGGCTGCTGCTTTTCCTTTTTCATGTGGTTCCTTTTGAGGTGTGGGCTGCTTGATGAAGGGTAGGAGGCACGCTGGTGCCCTACCCTGAGCCACTTTCTCTTGTTCCAGGCAAGCATATTTTGCAACTATAATTTCTTCCCTTTCTGTTTTTCTAGGGTTTCTGGTATGCACTTAAAGCCATATCTCAAGTTACAGAGGAAAGAGCGATCAGAAATAAGCCAGGACTCCCTCAGAGGCCCACCTATGACCCATCAGAGGTCACCCCGAGAAGACAAATACGCCACCAACTGCACCAAACTGAGCGTTTTCCCCAAACCCCCCCTTGTGAGTCCATCTCGAAAGCTTCTGGGAATTATTTATCCAAATACTATGTGCAATATGAACGGGAAAGGTCCGGCAGATGGTCTGAGCGCCAGGGAGAAGAAAAACGTCCTGTCAGCAACGATCCATCAGGGAGAAGAAGGGGAAGGGCCTCTGGATGTGTGGGCCGTGGTGAAGCCCGGCAACACGAAGGAGAAGATCGCTTTCTTCGCGGCCCAGCAGTGCAGCAGCAACAACCGGCTGGGCTCCATGAAGCTCAAAAGCACGTGGGATATCGATGGGAGAACGGTGAAACGCCGGAAAAAAACGGTAGATCTGAAAAAAGCCAAGCTCCAGTTGGAAAGGATGAGAGAGGCGAATGCCAGGTGCTCCCAGCCGGAGCCTTTCGCGTGCGGCATCGAGCACTGCTCGGTGCATTGTGTGAATGACAGTGGTGAGGGGGTGTTCCCGGGCAGGTCCCTCTCTGTGATAGAGATGGTTGCGTTTCTGGAGCAGCGAGCAAGTGCTTTACTGGTAGACTGTGCTAAAACTTGCACGTCCGCCTCCACGGTGAGGCTGAGCGCTGTGTCTAAAGGTGCTCTTCCCAGCTCTGAGCCTTTCTCCGCCGCCGGGCCGTGCGAGGTACATGAGAGGGGAAGCTGTGGTGGCAGCGAGCAGCAGCAGAGCGAGCCGGTGCGCGTCCTGGACATGGTGGCCAAGCTGGAGTCGGAGTGCCTGCGGCGGCAGAGCGAGCGGGACGGCAGCAGCCTGTCGCGCAACAACAGCTTCCGCAGGAACGTGGGGCGGGTGCTCCTGGCCAGCAGCACGCAGCCCGCTGCTGAGCCTGGCAGGGCCTCTGTAGGCAGTGTGGGTGAAGAGCTGGGGGCGGCGGGGGCTGGCTGCGGAGCGAGGTGTGGGGATGCTGGGCTGTGGGATGGCGCTGCCTCTGCTCCGCAGCCGTTCCCTCCTGGGTTGGAGGGGAACGCGGGTTCGGGACTTGCTCACGCTGTGTTGGCCATTGCGGCTGGAAGGAGCGATGCTGAAAGGCGGGTTGAGCCTCCCAGGGCTCTGCCAGCCCTGTGTCCGGCTGTGGCTGGGGTGCCGGCGGATTCCTTGCCGAGCAAGAGCACAAGTGTTGATTGTACGTCGAAAGAAGCTGTGATCCTCTCAAAGCAGAGCCTGCATCCTGCTAGGAAGGAGCCCTTGTGCATCAGTATATCGGTCGCCAAGAGTGATAGGAAAGAGAAGCTCCCTCCCTCCAGTTTGAGTGAAGACCCCCTCCCAGGGAGGTTGTTTTTTCTCCGGGCTGAACAGAATGCCGCTCCTGCACCACAGCCGCTGCAGGAATGTACCCAAGGGAAGCCAGGAGAAGGAGTGCAGAACGAGGATGAGGAGGCTGTGGAATCTGACAAATTGTGTGTCGGGACCAGTGTCTCTCCTGAGCCATCAGCCCTTTCTGTTCCCCCTCCAGAAGGTGCTTTGCAAGTACTCGATGCTTCCTGCTTGAAACGGCAGGTCTCACATGACTTTTTGGAGACCAGGTTTAAAATCCAGCAGCTTCTGGAACCTCAGCAGTATATGGCTTTCCTGCCTCACCACATCATAGTGAAGATCTTCGGCTTGCTCCCTACGAGGAGCCTGGTGGCCCTAAAATGTACTTGCTACTACTTCAAGTTCATCATCGAGTACTACAACATCAGGCCAGCAGACTCACGTTGGGTCCGCGACCCCCGCTACCGAGAAGACCCCTGCAAGCAGTGCAAGAAGAAGTACGTGAAGGGGGACGTGTCGCTGTGCCGCTGGCACCCCAAACCTTACTGCCAAGCTTTACCCTACGGGCCTGGCTACTGGATGTGCTGTCACAGGTCCCAGAAGGGCATCCCGGGCTGTAAGTTGGGTCTCCATGACAATCATTGGGTTCCTGCCTGCCACAGCTTTAACCGTGCTCTCCATAAGAAGACCAGAGGAGCGGGAGCCGAAGGAGAAGAGGAATATTAGTGCACATACACTTTCCTGTGAGATGGTTTGGGGTAGGAGGAGATTCTCATGCCTTGTGCTGTTTACAGTGTATATAATTGTCGTGTTTTTCACAGGGCTATGAAACTGCACATACTTCAACACAAGAGCCTTTACCTTTTAGAATAAAGAAAGCTTTTAGTCCATCTATGTAAATAACACTATAAAAACTAATTGTACATACAGAGTCTACAGCTGGCTGAACAACGTAATCACTACAATGCAGCTATGATAGTGTTGCGGCTATAGGTGTGTGTGTTTTTAAGTGTCTTGTTTCAAAATCTGTATATCCTGTATAATATATGAATGTTTCTGAGAAGAAACTCTAAATAGGTAAAGGCCAACCTGGTTAAAGAATCTTCAAACAACTTAACTGGACAACCTTAAAACTAGACTAGAACAGAAACGTGACAGTAGTGGTGGCAGTGGAGGAAAAAAAGAGAGGAATATTATTGTATAGTCAGAATATAAAAGAAGTTCTTGCCTACCTTATCCATGTTGTCTGGTTGGTTTTTTTGGGGGGTTTTTTTTTTTTTTTTTTTTACTTAAATAAAACGTGCATTCTAGATCTGCCTTAGCTGCCTTGGTCTTGTGAAAATGCTGTAAAACAGGAGGTGAGCACTTGGTGTTGTGCTGGAGCCCAGACTTGCAGCCTAATCCTATGAAGCAAAAACCCTTCCTGGTAGAGCTGTGCTCCAGCCCCTGCCTGCTGCTTTCTGCTGTGTGTCAGTGCTCTGAGGGCTGCCAGAAGCACAACTGAATGGTGGTGATTCCTTGAACTCTTCATGGCGTCTCTTGGAGCGTTTGCTTTCGTCTCCTGCAGTTCTGTCCCTGGGCCCAGGGAGGGCTGAAATGTGGGGCAGAACCCCCAGCAGTGGCTGTTCTGCTCTGCAGCCAGGAGTGGGCTTTGGTTTGCTATTTATGGTGCGTTATTGTGCAAGAAAATGCAGAGCCCTGGCAGCCTGTGCTCAGCTTTGTAAGGGATGCTGCTGCTCTTCTTGCTGTAGCTACACCTGGGTGCTGCTCTGCCCTCTGCAGTGCCAGCCAGGAGCAAGGAGAGCAGAAAGCCGCACGGAGGGGCAGCTGATGGAGGAGAAGTGGCATCCCCTGGGACTTGGGTTCATAATGGGGCGCAGGGCCGGGATGAGCAGGACTGTCCTGTGGTTGAAATCATGCCAAAACTGTTGGGATCAAAGGCCACACCTTAATTTCAATTAAGGAAGAGGGAGAAGAAAGAGCTTTCCTGCCCCCTGCCCAGGACTCTGGAAAAGTGGAGATAAATGCATGGCGCTGACGGTGGTGAGGAAAGTCACTGCTGGGCTGAAATAGAAGCAGCAGAGGAAAATATTTTGTACCTAGATAAGGAAGCAGTGAGGTCATTTTGCTTAGAACAAGCTGTGAGATTCTGGTCACCTTCAGTGACTGAGGCCACTGGGGGGGATGGAGAAAAATGAGAATAACAAGCTCCAAGCTTGCGTGTAAACTGCTGAATCCCCTGCATAGAGAGGGGTGTGCCTCAATGGAGATGCCATTGTTTGAAGCAAAAGTATTCTTTCTTTTACCTTGCTGCTGCATGTTTTGCTGCTTCCCAATTGCACTGTAGCAGGGCTGGTGCCTGTGATGCTTCGAAGGCTGGAAATTGTCATGTACCCCCCCCAGAGCATTTCAAACCACGAAGAAGTGACAATTCTACCACTTAAAAAAATTACTGTTAAAGATTTATTGCAATAATGCAATAAAACTTAGAAAAGAAAAATAATAATAATAATAATTGTATTTAGTTCCATCTCATTGGGAAGTCACAATGGCCAAATCCAGCTGCAGGGATCAGCCTGAGCCAGAACTGCTGTCTTCACCCCACGCCAACTGTTCTGCAAACTCAGCTGGCTGCCTACAGAAACCTCCAATGAGCAGACAGTGCTTCCTTCCCTCACCCCCAAACAACCTGGAAAACCAATCCCACTGATTGCACTGGAGGTTAGGACACATGTAACTCTCCCTGAGCTACACGTGTGCAAAACACTTTAAAACCAACACTCTATCCTGTTACACAATTGTTCCTTGAAAGGACCGGTCTCGATGCATTCATGCCTTCACAGTGCCACTGTGCACTCTGTGATGTGGTGGGAAATAAATTATTTGGAAAACACCATGGTCAAAATAGGGATATGGCTTCAGAAGGTGTTGTGGTAGTGGCTTTCCCCCCCCCCCCCTCAGAATGCATAAATGGCAGCATCCAAACAGAACCGTGGCCTGGCCATTAGGGCTCTAAGTAATGCAAAGGCAGCAATGAGAGTGATTGAAAGGTGTAGTAAAATATGTATATAGGGAAGCAAGATGGGCTGTGTGATGCTAAAAGCCCAGCATAGGGCACTGCTCAGACACCAACAGCTTCTAAGGGGAAAGTAGTCAGTAGGGCCAAGACTGCAGTTGGCAAGGGGGTCTGTGCTGTCTGTCTAACTTAACTTGGGTTTAGGACCAAGGGTGTCTTCACAGAACAGCGTACTGTTAGTGCAGAGTTAAGGGTCTTGGGTCCAAAGAAACCCCAAATAGATTCCCATCCCAAAGACCAGCAGCTGCTGTGCAGGACAGAGCTGGGCTGTACTACTAGGTGCAGAGCTCAGCAGGGCTGGTGCTGCTTTGCTGCTGTGCACAAGGATGCTGCCTCTCTCTGCCTCACCTCTATGTGCCTCACTTGCATCCCCAGCTGCTTCAACAGAGAAGACTGCAATCTTCCATCTGAGAGGGATGGGAGGATGATTTCACACAAATGCCCACGAAGGTGTACAACATCCCAGCTGCATGAAATGCAAACCATACAGTGGAAAACCATCCTTAAGAGAGGCAGAGGAAGTGAAGGAGCACTTGTTAGCAAACCCCTGTCAGCATCGCAGCTCCCGCAGTTCTGTGAGCACGCCAGCTGCCCTGGGAGCAGCACTGCAGTGAGATGAAATCAGCTCCTTGGCAATCAGCAAACAAGAACAGAAAGAAAAACCCACCAGCAACACAGAGTGGAACAGGGTTTAAAACGCACGTGGCACGTAGAACAAGGGACTTCATGAAGATAGCTTGAAATGAGGCTTCTCTAATATTAAAAATGGCAACACGGTGTAACCGATGAGTCTTATTGCAACAACAGTGTCAGATGTGGGTCTAGCTAAGAACATCCAGTGTTTCTTTGGTGTGTGGTATCAAGAGTAAAGAGCATCGTGCCTGGAGAGCACAACATGGTATGTGTAGATTGCCTACTGGTGGAGCAAGCCAATTTCCTACAGCAAAACTGGGCCAAGATCCACACCAAAACCTGAAACAAGAGCAACCTGCTGTGTGGATTCTTGTCCATGCTGATTCTCCGTATTAAAAAAAATATGGCAACAGAGATTAGAAAACATGTTAAAAATGCATCATTGTCATGTCCTGAATGAGAAAATTTAGAAATGTGCATTTTTGCATTATGCAACACAGATTTAAAACACAAACATAAACCCTGTGAGGAGTTAAGAACGCGTGAATTGCATTCGCACCACCGTCCAGACTGAATACTGAGCAGCCTTCCCTCTGTACTCGTTTGGATCCAAACACTACAGAATCTGTTTCTTCTTTAGGAGACAGAGCTGGAGGCCGCTGGGTCCTCCTTTGATATCCAACAATGCAGACAGAACCAAGACACAAAGTGCCAGCACAGAATCTGTCAGAATTACGTAGCTAGCTAATGTACAAAACGGTACCATCACAGTCATCTTGGGTCAATAAAAAGGTTCTTCTGGTTTACAAAATCGAAGTCGGACCTTTTCTTTGTTCCAGGCACTACTTAACTGAATATGTAAGGTTTACTACAGCATTGCTGGGGAGGGATTCCTTCCAAAATCCTGTGATCCTTTTCCCGTGCTCGTTAGCGATGCCCGGTGTACGCCTTAAACCACGAGGTCACTGAGGCAGCAGCAGAGGAGATCATCCCGCCAGCACTGCTGCTGGCGATGGGCTGTGACACCTGCGTGCTCTGGCTCTGCAGCATCTCCACCTGCTGGGAAGGGATATCACAGAACCTGGGGCTCGGCAGATTCTCCCAGTCTGTCCCCAGATCCGTCTCTTCGTCGCTGACGTGTTCATCTCCGCTCTCATCCGTCTCACCGGTGGCACTGGGATCCACAAACTCCATGGAGTCTTCCAGGTCAGCACTGATTTCAAAAGGGCCAGACCTGTGGACACGGACACAGTGCTGTCAGTGCTTCCAGTACAGCGCAGAAGAGGGGCTGTCCTAGGCCTGCCTAAGCAGCCTGCTCTGTCATGTGCACATGGAACAGACGTTAGAAAACCTCTGCCTTTATCAGCTGGCACAGAGAGGCTCCCTGGCTACAACCGCATTGTGACAATGGTAAAACAGTTGGCCAAGGAAGCGATGAGCAGGAACGGCAGAGGAGCTGTTTGGCTTCAGCAGTGCACAGTGTAACACACACAGCTACTGATAGTAACTCACAGCTCCACTGGTGGAAATCTCAGCTTGATGTGGAACAGCTTTGATTTTTAATGCTAGCTTTGACCGGGCCGGGAAGGCTGCAGGGAAGGCTGCAGGGAAGGCTGCAGGGAAGGCTGC